TGTGTTGAAGCCCAGGCGTGCGAGACCAATGCGCCAACACGGGGTAAACATTCAGCCTGAGATCACAGCTTACATATTTCAAATCACGAATTCTGCGATTCTGTAATTTCATTAATTTTCCACATTTTCCTTATGTTATGTCTTCTTTGAGTTTTTCCGCCAACTTTCCTTTTTCATCAGGAACTGTGATGGCATTTGCGCTTGTATTACTGCATCCTTGAAGAAAGTACCTGAATCTAACCCCGTATTCAAGGGAATTTCTTTGAAAATTTGTCAAGTTTCTTGCCTTTATTCAACACGGAATTTCATTTGTGTTGACAAAGGACTGCCCTTGCTGTAAGTCAGTGGAATTTGGCCAATAATTTCACACCCTTCAACTAAAAAAAACAATTTTGTTCTACCATCAGCGTCTACTCTTTCAATTCAGTCGGTGCCTTATGGACTACGGGTTCAATGCCTGTCGTATGCAGTGCTAAGTTTACCTCATGTTTTCACTTCCGTCAACCCTGAACGAAGTCGAAACTTACTGCGACGTTCATACGTTGCTGTAGGGCTGTGCCTCCTCTGTTGGCCACAGTTTTCCTTTTCAATACCTTTCTTTCATTCGTGGAAAAATGAAAATTTATCTTCAGTTTGTTATCATTTAAAAAAAGGGCCAGTTTAGCCTAAACGTTTGAGTCCGGTGGTGGGCTTTAGTGAACACGGTGATGAACTTTCGGGTTCCATAAAGAAAGCGGGCTATTCTTTGACAAAGTTCCTGCACCACAGAGTGAGTTAATGAGTTAGTCTTAACTTTTGTATGTTGTGTTGCGTATTGTGTTCGAGGGCACATTACATTTGAGCTTCAGCGTTTACAATATTCGATTCTCTTTTTATATGATGAAATAATTTCGAGTCAATACTTCGCAGTTAAAACATTCGTCAATGATCTTTATTATTTTGATTTTAATTTCGTTCCTCGTCAAAAGTTTTCTCTCTTAGTTCCAAGAGTTAGCAAATTAAAACCAATTTAAGTTTGTTTACGTGAAAATGTAGGCTAATTTATATACTGAAATGCTTGTCAGGTCCTCATTACTTTATTCATGTAACACCCCCTCAGTCGAATTTTAAAATATATGAGTTTGATAATGTATGAGGGTGGGGAGATTTGACTGCTCGTTTAATATTTACATTTAATATTTACATGCTGGAGGACCGTTATTAGACTGGGCTTGTCGGAACGGCTGCAAGCTAGCTAATCAAAGCCCAAGTAAACACGGGACTGGCACAGCAGTGGACTTCATAAAAAATAGCGTGGTCCACCCCCCGAACTCCCATCCGACCGCCCCC